TGATAATTAACACATCCTGATTGCATGTTTGGTCAATTTCAGACTGTAGAAGCTGATAAAATTCTTCAATTTCCTCATCTTTGGCTTTGGTGGTCTTAAGGGCCATCATGTCCTAGGGCTGATATTGCTTCCAAATGCCTTTGGTTTTTTGCACTTTTCTTCACTTCCGATGCTAGGAGACTGTTAACTGCATCTTAGATGGCTGCTTGTAAGCTTTTAAGACCTCAGTCTCTACTCACCAATGTAGGATGCAGAACAAGGCTTTTATATATTCTGTTTGTGCCTATTGAGTCTGGTGTCCCCCATACTATGGTCCTGAGATGGTAGATCTATTGGATTTCTCTCCCATAGTGTCTGGTTGTCTGTGAGGGATCACTCTGCGTCTGTCTTCTATTGTTTCTGTAAGGATTGCAGGTATTTTGCAGGTGTGTGTACAAGATTAGTCTCAGGTGAATCCATCCTTGGTCTAGAGTATACCTGTGTTCACTGACTCCTGTCGGATTATCTCAGGTGTTTATGTGTTTATCTGCAGCCTGGTGTTTGGTGTTAATGGCAATGCAGTATTTTGGACACATTGGTTGGTGTTAGCATCTGTCGTCTATCTTGTATGTGCACAATTTGGAGTCCTCCCATTTCCTAATGTTATTTCCTCTTTGCCAATTGGTATGCCTTTTATTTCTCTTTCTTGCCTTATAGCCTTGACCAGGACTTCCAATACAATGATAAATAAAAGTGGTGATAGAGGGCATCCCTGTCTGGTTCCCATTCATAAGGGGAATGCCTTGACTCTTTCTCCATTAATAATGATGTTGGCCATTGCCTTTGCATGTATACCCTTTAATATGTTGAGGAATTTCCCTTCTATCTCTATTTTGCTGAGAGTCCTGAACAGGAATGGATGTTGGATCTTATCAAATACCTTTTCTGCATCAATTGATATAATCATATGATTCTTTTGTTTTGTTTATGTGATGGATTTCATTGAGTGTTCTTCTGATGTTGAAGCACCCTTGTAAACCTGGTATGAATCCCGCTTGGTCCAGGCGTATTAATTTTTTGATATTTTGTTGGATTCTGTTGGCTAGGATTTTGTTAAAGATTTTTGCATCTATGTTCATGAGTGATATTGGTCCGTAGTTTTCCTTTCATATGCCAATCTAATAGAGATACTGCCACCAGAGGGGCAACATTCATACGGAGGAAAACTGGACAGACAGGAGTGCATAACTAAGAAGGGCACAGGGATGGGGGAGTCACAGGGAAAGAGAGTGGTTCAGGGTTGGGGATGGTAATCGGGGAGTGAAACCAAATGAACTGTTGAATGTAAAACAAATTCTGCTCTCTATATTTGCACCCAAA